TTACAGCAGGAAAAACACACCAAATTTTTGGGAATTTTCATCGATGAAAAACTGAACTTTGAAGCACATACAAGTCAACTGAAAAAAAAGGTTGCGTCGGGATGCTTTGCCGTTAGGGTTGTCCGGAGGGAGTTTGGCGTGGGGGTAGCGAGGGATGTTTATTATGCCCTGGTAGAGTCTCATCTGCGCTATGGGATAGCATTCTGGGGTGCGTGTGGTGATGGCCTGTTTCAGTCCGTCTTCTGCTTCCAGAAAAGAGCTATCAGATCAATGTTTCAGCTAAGACGGAATGATTCCTGCAGGCCTTATTTCAGGGACTACAGATTGCTTACCCTAACATCTCTGTATATATTGGAATCAGTTTGTTTGATATTCAAAAATAGGTATAGGGATAGCTACAATTTCCAGCATAATTACAGAACTAGACAGACACAGGTTGTCCATCTTCCGATACCCTCTTCAACAATGATAAAAAAATCCTTAATATATGAAAGCCGTAAAATATTCAATAATCTACCTTTACAATTGAGAGAACTTGATAATTTTAATGCCTTCCGAAAAAACGTGAAAGACTATCTTTTGGAGAATTGTTTTTACACTTTAGAAGAGTTTTACGCAGCTAGTTGAATGTCGATTGTTAGTTTATATGTAATGATGTTGATGTTTTATATTATTTTATATTATTTTATTTTATTTTATTTTATTTTATTTTATTTTATTTTATTTTATTTTATCTTATTTTGTTTATAGTTGTATTTTTGTGTATTTATATTTAATTTTTAATTTTACATACCTTATGAATCACATATTTAGTGTAAATTAGTAATACTTTACTTTTAATTTTATTTTATTTGATTATGTAGATATAAGACTGCTTTGTCAATAAGATTTCTATCTTTGATAATAAAGCTTTTTCTGATTCTGATTCTGATCTACAAATACACATTTTTACGGCGATGCGTAAACTACCCGAAGTGAGAAGACTAGACGGAGAGGGGACAATTCTCTAGAGGGCAGTACTTTATTGATTTTCACGGACGTCGGCTACTCGAGCCGCACCCTTTGTTAAAATTAGTCGTAAATAGTTTTTAGTTTTGCATGAGCTGATGCTCTTTCATATTCTTGTTCAATTTGCTTAATTTTCAATTAGAAATGAATCTTTTTTTTTTGCTTATAGTAAGAATTATTATTCTAATACTTGATTTGTTAATGTGAACGTAAGAGAAGAATAAAACTTTGATACAGTCCACTTCGTCATCGTTTTTATACAATGACTATGTATTTCGTTGGTAAAGGTTATATTTGTATTTATTTTTTGTTGTTGTAAGATAATTTTATGCATTAGTTTACCCTGTTCAAGATTTAATATTTTCTCTAACCTGCAGAGACCTAACTCACTGTATAGGGTATCTGTGCTTGTAAGTATATCATAATTGAATAAAATCTTTAAGACCTTATTTTGTAAAATTTGAATTTCATCAAACCTAGTTCTAGAACAGGTACCCCATACTGGCAGTAGGTAACGCAAATGGGACAAAAAGAAGGCATTATAGATATTCCTTTTTGTTTTGATTGAGATTGAGATAGATAATCTCGACATTTAAAGATAATGGGTATCATTGGAACAATTTTATTTTTAATTTTGTTTATGTGGCTTTGCCAATTTAACGACTCATCAATAATTAGTCCAAGATATCTAATCTCAGTAACCATCTCCAAAATTGTATCATTAATTTCAATATTTGTACTTTCAATCCGTTTATTTTTTTGCTTGAAGAGCCTATATTTGGTTTTATCTGCATTGATTTTCAATTTGTTGAAGTAGAGCCAGTTACTGTATAGTTTAAGATCTTCATTGACTTCTTGCATAAGTTCTGTCTCATTTTCACCCGTGTATACCAAAGCTGTATCATCAGCAAAGGTGAAATACTGAGCTTTTAGGTTTGCACATCTAAGGCTCAAAACATACAAAGAATATAAAATAGGACCGAGGACAGAACCTTGCGGTACCCCATACATATTAGTTAGTAACTCGCTCTTTACATTACTTAATGTCACATATTGTTTTCTATTGCCTAAATACGATTTAATAAGGGTAAATATAGATTCTCTAAAGCCCATCACAAAAAGTTTTCTCAGAAGTATGTCTATGCTGACCACATCGAAAGCCTTACTCAAATCAATAAAAACAGCTATAACAATTTTTTTTTCATCTAAAGCTTTGCAGGTGTAATTGACAAAATCAAAAGTAGCGCCTAAAGTGCTACTATTTCTAATAAAACCATACTGGAACTTGTCAAAAGTTATATTGTCATCAATAAAATTTATCATCCTATTTTTTATAACTTTTTCGATAATCTTTGAAAATATACTTATGACTGAAATCGGCCTATAATTACTCATACACTTTGAGTCACCAGATTTATAAATTGGTGTAATCTTGCTTATTTTCAGTTCTTGTGGAAATATTCCTGTGGTAAGTATATCATTTACCAGTTTTGTTAAAATTTTCAAAATAAATTCCTGTAAATTTAGAACATCAAATACCGTTACCTCATCATCCCCGGGTGCAGAGTTTTTTTTAAGTTCCGACATAATTTCATTAATTTCAATTTCATTTGTACCTTTTATATTTATAATTTTATTACATTTTATCTCTTCTTTTATTTTACAGTGATTATTCCACTCATGTGTTAGAAATCCCATAAGATAAGTGACGATTTTAAGAATTACAGCGAAAATTCTCTTCTCCATTTGTTTAACTAGAGAGAATTACAGCGACAATTCCACTCATGTATAAATAATCCCATTTGAAATGTCAAAAATCGTAGTTTGCTAGCGGATAAATAGGAAGGAAGAGAAAATATAACTGGATAAAAAAATCGGATAAATTTTCTGTTGGTGCTATCTTTACCATAGTAACAAGGGCATATTAAATTGATTTTTGAATCATCTGTCAAATTATTGTGTCACAAAAATTCACAAATTCGATCATTTTAGCTTATTAAAAGTGTTTTGTTATCTGAGATAAATACATTTTTTATTTTGATGTTACATTCGTGGAATTGCCGTACTAAATACCATTCGAGCTCAGATTTTGAGCAGGATATTTTTTTGCTTGCTCTCTCATACTTGCTTTCATGCAATTTATCTCGATCTGTTCCACAAAATCACTCGAGCTGCGCTCACGTGATTTTGTCAGAACAGCTCTCATTAAATTTCCTAAAAGTAAGTATTCGGGACCAAGCCAAAAAATATCCGGCTAAATCTGAGCTCTTATGGTATTACCTACGATAATTCTCCCATGTTATTGTATACATGGTTGTCATGCTAATTTTTGATACAAACAAACGGTTCCTGATAGCAACCATTTATTTGTATTGATTGTTAAGATGTTCAAATCGTTTAGTACATATTTATTTCCATATTTTTTGCATTCTCATACGTGAAATAATCCTCTAAATACCACTTGAGCTTTAAAATGAACCAGATAATTTTTCACTTATGCGTGTTTTCTCTGCAAATTTCACTCGTCCTACGGACTCGTGAAATTATAGAAAACACGCAATCGTGAAAAATTATCGGTAATTTTGAAGCTCTCGTGGTATTATCCCCGACAATTTACTTAAAATTGTTTGATTTTTTTGGCTTTTTTGCATTTTTTGTTGTGTCATTCATATATGAATGATATGGACGATGCGATAAAATTTCGTCAGTTTTCCAGGGGGTCGCGTCATTCATATATAAATGACACAACAAAAAATGCATAAAAGCCAAAAAAATAAAAACCAAACAAAATTATAAGTAAATTGTCACTGTAAAATAAAAGAAAAGCCAAAAAATACGAAAATACAACTTTGGCCCCCAGCAAATAATTCAGGATTTGGCCTTGGCAGTCAATGTGTTAAAGGTGAGGCAAAAAAATCTGCTAAACCCTTATATATGTAGGCTGGTATGTTATCGGGGCCAGTTGACTTTTTAGGTTTAAGTTTTTTTATGCTGTCTATGACATTAGTTTCAGTAATTACAGAAAATTCAAAAGAGTTGCCACTGAAATCAGGAGTCCTATTTTGTATTTTTGTGGGTATTTCATATACAGATTAAAAGTGTTGTGCGATTATGGACCTACTGGTAACATCTCTGGCAAATTTTCCCCGCTAGTAAAACTAAAAATTGAATGCAATTTTTAGCTTTACTTTAGCTTTTTTTTTTCAATTATTTGAAGAAAGAAGATAAAACATAAAGGGAATTCAAGAGCCTGGAATAAACCAAAAATTAGACAAAATAGAAATGGAAAAAAGGGAAAGTTAGTAAAAAATCACAAAAAGCATGTATTTGTGAGATTATTGTGAAGGTCAAAAATAAAGTAGTAGGTATGTAGTATCAGAAAATAAACAGGTTATATTGAATTTATTAAAAAATAATAATTTTCCATGATATAAAATCTGTTTTTTTTTTTTTAAAGATAAAAGTCAAAATGACATTCTGTTGGCAATACAATGTAAAATTGTCAATGCTTTCAAGTTTTTTATGTAGAAAAGGCTTGTGTTGCCAACATAGTTACTAAATTTTTGACTTGGGGAATTATCTAAAAAAAAAAAAAAAACAGACTTTAGGTATTTGGAATTATGTAAAGCTGAGTATATAAAGTTTTGTACAGTACATAGTATATCTAATTAGTACAATACTGCAATTATGTAGGTATTATCGAGGGTATTATTAATAATTTTCTATTTATAGGCATGAGATTTTTTCATTTCTAACCTAACTTATCTCTTGTATTTTTCTACTTTTTCATTGATAAACAAATTAATTAATTAGGAGACTGAATGAATTCTAACCCATTGTTTACCACATTATTTAGCAAATTATAAAAACAACCCAGAATCATATACAGGGTGAAACTATAGAAAAATTTTATAGCTGCAATAAAACCAATAAAAATCAACCACGAAACGTGAAAATATGACTAAAAATAGCAAAAAAATCAGGCCACTTACGTTATACATGTTGACCAAATTGGCCCTCTGTGCTGGGTCATCGAACAGCGCATAATACTGCTGCACGAACCCTTTACCGATCGCTTCGTACTGTAAATTAAGGGCCATTTTTATTTATTGCAATTTTTTAATAGAAATTGTAGCCCAAAAAATAAATAAAATATTCAAAAAATGGGGCCCCCCACACTTGAAATCCAAATTTTAACCCAACAACAATATCGAACCGCCACAAAAAAAGAATATTTTTGACAGTGACACACTTGACATTTGACAATTAATGATTTTTTGTCTCACTCTAACTCATTAAATTGTAAAAACTATTTGAAAAAAAAAAAAAGAAGAAATATGTTGCATGTTGCATTAACATAACCTCACAAAAATCAAAATAAATAACAAAATTTATAAACAAAATAATAAATTAAATAAAAATAATGTTAGTAGAGCCACTAGAAAAATTGTCTAGACAATTTCTATGCGGATTTCCAATCAACGAAATTGCTTTTTGTGAATTACAGGTAAGTGACTGTTTTTAGTAAAATCAAAAAGAAATTCCTTCGTAACATTCTCAGGCTCTCAATTACAACGACCAAGAATCTCTTTTGAATGCCACAGTCAATTCGCAACTAGTCCTCAAATACCCCATAAAAATCGACTACCAAAAAGTCTTCCTAAAACATCTAATGAGTAAACTAGAAAGCGATGGCTCGGATATACATGAAGACATATTTTCAGCTTATGTTAAATTAATTGCAACAAAATCATGTGAAACAGAACTATTTTACAAACATTATAAAACTAGTAAAAATGTTATTAGTTTAATGGAAAATGTTAATTTGATATCGGAAGGGACAACAGGCTTGAGGACTTGGCAGGTAATATTTCTGTTACTATAACTAAACCATTAGTAAAAAAGTTTTCTAGGCCTCTTTAGCTTTAAGTGAATGGTGCCTTGAAAATAAAGCCTCTCTATTAAACAAGAACATTCTAGAATTAGGTTCTGGAATCGGACTCACAGGGCTTGTGATACTTCAACAATGTCAACCTGGAAAATTTTACTTTTCCGATTGCCATCCTGCTGTACTGAAAACTTTAAAACACAATATCCAATTGAATAATACAAATTTGAATAATTGTCAAGTATTAAATTTGGCTTGGCAAAATGTAAATGAGCATTTATATGATTTAGATAAAATTGATTATATTTTGGCTGCAGATGTTGTTTATGATACAGACCTTTTTCAAACCCTTATTGAGGCCTTGAGAATTGTTTCTGAAAAATGTGGAGTTGAGGATGTTGTGTTTGCTTGTACTGAAAGGAATCAAGAAACTTTAAGGGAATTTTTACAACAAATTAGTAAGAATTAAATTAATAATAATAATCAGATTACAATTATTATTATTTTTAGAAAAATATTTTAAAGTTATGGAGGAACAATGTCCAAGGCAAAATAATTTTGTTTGGTCCACCAGTACGCCTGTGAGGATTTTTAGGTTTCAATTGCTAAAAAAAAAAAAAATGTGGTTTGATATTTGATTTTATTCAACAAAGTAAAACAACATAATTATGTATTTATAAAAATAAATAAATGACTTAAGAAATAATAATATGGCATACATCACAAAATAATTCAACTTACAGAGTCAAAATAAAGCAACAAATCAGCCGGTTTTTAATAAAATTTCTATGTAAGTTGCTTCCCAGACTTAACTGTCACTTATTCTATAGTCTAAGAATCTTCTAATTAATAAATAGTAATTAATCTGATACTGGAATTGTCTTAAACTTTGATTTAAATAACATTACTTGAATACAATTTGGAATTTCCAGAACTTTTACTATTACTGCTGGGATAAATCACAAACAAGCTCAGTTGGATACCGGATAACACACAACCCAAAAAATTGGGCACCTAAAAAAAAAACCATTTTAAATTAAATCAAATCAAACCAAAAACCTATATCTACCTGTATAAACTGATCCTTTAACAATACCCCATAAATCATCCATTGCAAGCTCACGATAAAAGTAGAAACAATTAAATGATAAGGCAAGCTATCAGTGTTTTTCACTTTAATGACGTGTAGCAAGGAAGCAAAGGGGGCAGCGAAAAATAAAATCGTGACTACAACGCAAATGAGCCCTAGAAAGTTGCGAGCCAGCTCAGTTTCTTCAGTACGGTGGATTTTCATTAGAACCACGATGAGGACTAGAAGACAGAAAAGCAATTGACGCAAGACATGGATCTGGAAAATTCAATAATAATAATAAATATGTATTGTTAATTATTATTGTTGCAACCTTTTTAATGCTGTACAAAAAGAAAACGACAATATAAGAGAAAAACAATGAAACTCCAATAGTGTTGACCAGTATAATTGAAGTATCTTGGATAAGAAATCCGTATCTGAGCCACAAAGATGTGGACAAGCATCCACTTACAAACGAAAACGAGGACGAGTCTCCTGTACTTTTATTTTTTACAATTTTTTGGCATGTTATGCTACAAAATACATACAATGTTAATACAATGTTTGCATTATTTTAAATTGTACTTACGTTCCGGATAAAAACTGCAAAATTGTACAAATCGACGAGGTGGTTGCCAGAATATTCTTCAGCGTTTCTTCATTCATTTTTCTAGTGCATTTGCTCCAATTCAATAATTATTAGCCGACAAATTAATTTCAAAAAGTTGATGGTGAATGCGCCACGTCAAATGTTGTTTATAATAATACGAGGGAAGTTAGCTGTTTGTGCATGTGGCAACTTAGGAAGAGTAATCCTGGCAACATTGCATCGTTTTATGTTGGTAGAACTTGTGCAAGAAAAGTTATTCTCTGTTGCTTTTACAGGCTAATAGAAAGCGATGCAAATATAATCAGTGCATGTTAAACCTACCAATAGGAAAAGTGGGTTCCAGTTATGTTATTCGACCCGAGGGTAGATTGGAGCGACTGAGATTTTCACTAAATAGCTTGCACTCAGTGCAAGGGAAAGTAATGAAATCTTGAATTAATGGAACAAGTTTTACATTTTCATGGCATGTTATACAAAGTTGAGTTGTAGAGGGCGTTTCTGTACTTCGGTATTTTGATCTGAGTTCTCCGAGCTGGAATTTACCGTTCGTTTATTCAAAAAGTGTACTCGGTGCAGGCTAGTTCGCGTTCATTTATTTAAATTTCGGGCACTCTGACCAGGGACCTGGACCGGAACGATATTGGAACGAAACCGTTTTTCTTTTGCGGACCGGAACCGGAACGAAACCCATATTTCATAGAAATGTTGTAGGGCAGGCAGAACCGGAACCGATATAAATTAATTGATTCTTACCGGTATTTTTCGGTTCCAAGATTTTATAAATTAAGCTGTTTGCTGTTTGGTTGTATCATAATAAAATTAACACTTTAAAAAACAGAGCGTTGGACATTGGACAGCGCGCATTTCTGAACTCCGCTAGGCTACACACCAAGGATTTTACATACTACTACAGGACTGCTCATCGGCTTCGATTTTTGGAATCAAGTTCATATGTTGTTGAACCGTTGCCGACGTCATCAACGGTCTCGTTAGCGGTTTGCGTTCGTAGTTAAGAATATACATGTATGATGAAAAATATAATTTAAATTTGATTTACATAATAGTCAATAGACAAGAGGAAGATGCAAATGATATCTAAACAAGGATTGTTTTAAGAATATTAAATAATGTACTATGGTTCTAAACCGTTTCGAAATACAATCCAATCCACGTTTTAAAACCATTTCCTCGTGCCGAGAAATTATGACGTCATTGTGAAACTGATTTAAAACTTTGAGACGCGAGAAAACACCTCCTAATCCGTGGTGCAACTGGTGCAAGCACTACGTCAAGGCGAGAAACGACACGCTGTTACGTCATCACTAATCAAAAACACAAAAATTTATTTTATTAATAGTAATTATTATGATTATTAAAGTTGTTGCAGATAGGCAGAGAAATCCAAAAAAAATAAACCACAAATTATAGAAACATAAATTTTTCTGTAATGACCGTTTTAAGGTTTGCTTCTTGAAATGGTCAGTGCAAATGGCCATTAGATATTTGTGAAAAACTATATCGGTATGAACCGTTAAAACCGAAATTATTGGTCCGAACCGAATCGAAATATTTCTCTTAGAACCGAAACCGTAACGGAACCCATATTCGTCATGACGCTGTGGACCGGAACCGGAACCGATATTTCATTTCGGTCCGGGTCCCTGACTCTGACACAGAGTTCAGTTGCTCTTTTCGCTCGCTAGTCAGGTGATTGCGGCTCCGCTCAGCACACTCTGCTCTTTGAACAAAATACCGAACGCAAGGTTAATAGGCTGATTTGAAAATTAATTTTGGGTTTTTACTAATTCTACTCTGATTGTTCCAAGTGCACTGACTCTTGATCTGTTCAACTGTCCGAACTGCCTTGACACCGTTCGAGTTCTGTTCCATTTGCACTAACTCGATTTAAATTATTCTTGCATTCTATCAGCATTAAATTCTAAAAAAAAATATTTGAATTTTTTCTATTGTTCGAGTTTCTCTAATTCCAATTGCTTTAATTTCTGTTCCCTTTCTACTATCTCTATTCTGTTTGCATTGCTCTGCTTTTTACTGTACGAACTAATCTAATATCCTACTGAACAGTGGCTATGTTCACCAGAACCAAAACGGATTATAAACAGTTTACAAATACCAACAAAATACGTTGGGTGAACTCTTGGTTCCGGTGAACGATTCAACTTTCAACTTTTCAATGATAGATGACCCTCCGAATGTCATGTTACCGGGTTGAGTTCGGAATCGGATTTTAGTGCGGTGCTCGTGTAGTGCAGGGTTATATCACGTAATGACGGTGTAACACCGAATACACCATAAGTGAGTTCGGAAATAGTAGAAAGTGTCGAAACTTTTTAGACTATTGACACTGTGACGTTCGTTAATCGGTAAGAGTAAATTTGAATAAACCAAGTGAATCGAACGTGAATGTACCTGCACCGAGTACACTTTTTCAATAAACGAACGGTAATTTCAATCTCGGAGAGCAAAATACCGAATGCACGGTTAGAAGAGTTCTGAAATAAACTCGTTTCGCTCCGGAGTGAATAAAGAAACGATTTCGATGAAAAAATTCCTAAGAAAAATTCAAACAAATTGAATAAAGAAAAAAAAAATTTCATCGAGCTAATTTTCCCGATTTCCAGTGCAGTTTCATATTTTAAAGTTTCAGAAGTGAAGACTAATAGCAATTGTTTCATTCATTGAGTTTCATTGAACGCTTACCTACTTGAAATCAAGTTGTATAAGGTGGCAACACTGTAGACGTATATGTATCTTATGCCCGATTGCACCATCTCTTTTAACTGAGGCTTAACGATAACTATTCCTTAAATTGGCAGTTTTGCATGGGAAAATGTCACTTTAAGGAATAGTTATCTCTAAGTCTCGGTTAAGAGAGACGGTGCAATCGGGCATTTTAAACCATTAAAAAATCTGTGCATTTTTTCCACTATATATGTTACTCCAGAAACCGACTTTTTCAAAGGATAACGCACACCTTACATAGGAATTTTGGGCTTTATGAATTTTGCCCATTTTTTGATATTTATGTTGTAGAGGATTTAATTCTTAACAACCTTTAAATGGGACGAAATCTGGTAGTTATTACGGTCTTTGAGATATAAGCGTTGAAAGATGAACTTACTTTTTCGATGCTTTTTCGCGACTTTTTGTGTGGAGAGTATACGAAATACTGGGGGTGCGTTCAAAATCACCCTGGCGTCACACCGAGTGCACACCCGGAGTGCGTTCGAAATCACCCTGGGCATCACACAGAGTGCATACCAGCCATGCATTTTTCATGGCTGGTGTGCACTCGGTGTGACGCCCAGGGTAATTTCGAACGCACTCTGGGTGTTTATCAGTCAAAATAGAGAGTTCTCGTGCTGTCCAAATTTCAAATACCGTAACGCTATTTGATAAGTATGACAGTTCGTATTAGCGTTAGCGGAGCCCGCTATCTAACGGAACTTACCGGATGCCTTAGGCCGGATTTTCATGCATCCGTTTTCCGACGAAATATGTCCGAAAAATCTTCTATTTTGACATATTTTTATACGATTATGTCAGAATAGAATGTTTTTCGGACATTTTTCGTCGGACAAACGGATGCATGAAAATCCACCCTAACCGTAACGCTATGCTATGTCAAAACTAGTTTACGCTCGAATAATGTCTGCAAAAAAAACAACTTCTAATAATTCCCCCATAAAAAAACATCAAGCGAAAATTAAACAAGCTCAGGAATCTTCAGAATAAATAAAAGTTACAACACAAGCAAAAAAAGTTGGGTTAGATCACTCAACTCAGCTGTCAAAATGTAAACAAAATAAGGGATTAGAGGATTTATGTGCCTTCGTGTCCGAGAACTATAAAATACCATGTGGTATTGTCAGCGGTACCGTATTAGCGTAACGTCTGACAAGAACTTTCTAATATTATTAACAAGTTCACATATTTTACGTCACTAACAAATGTCAACATAGGTTAAGGCCGGGACCGCACTGGCGCCAACATTGGTTTCAGTGCGGTCGCGGCCTTAGCCGATGTTACCATTAATTTGTTAGGCCCAAATGTACAATCTTGGTTCAAAACAGAGTTTAGCTGAACTCGACTGGTACTTGAACTTTTCCATTTGAAATGCAATACTGTCAAAATTGATAGAATTTGATTAATAGCTGACAGCAATATATTTTAAATGGGAAAGCTCAAGTACCAGTTGAGTTCAGTTGAACTTTGTTTTGAACCGAGATTGTACAGGGTGTCCGAATTTGGATAGTTTTAATAGGAAACGTCAATTTCTGAGCGAGATACAAAAAAATGAACCCCCCACTCCGAGGCTCAAATTTCTTGAAATTTTGATTGGTGCAAACCGCATTTTGATATCTTCAACCGTTCAGCTGCTAGAGGGCGATTTTCGATTTTGAGCAATACTGTGAAATCTTCATAACTTTTTTGTTTATGAAAATAACTGATTTCCGTAAAAACTTCCTAGAGGCACTTTTTTAAGCAGAATTCAGTGACGTTTTCAGTTTTTTTCTATTGGACCTCAATTTCAAGATATTGACCAAAATCCGATTTTTTTCAATGGGACACCCTATATATTAATAGCTCTTTAGAAAGTTCTGCTTTTGCTGATTTCAATGATACAAATTTCGATGGGTTTATCTCTAACAGTTTTCCAGAAAAAAAAATATTTTGGTTTTGGTCATAAGAAACAATGAGTTAGAAAGAGACCTTTTTCATTTTCCTTACAAATAAAAAGACCTTTTTTAACACATTGTTTCTTATGGAAAAAAACGAAATAATTTTTTTTTTCGAAAACTGTTAGAGATAAACCTATCGAAATTTATATCATTGAAATCAGGAAAAGCAGAACTTTTAAGAGGACTATTAATATATAGGGTGTCCCATTGAAAAAAATCGGATTTTGGTCAATATCCTGAAATCGAGGCCCAATAGAAAAAAACTGAAAACGTCACTGAATTCTGCTTGAAAAAGTGCCTCTAGGAAGTTTTTACGAAAATCAGTTATTTTCATAAACAAAAAAGTTATGAAGATTTCACAGTATTGCTCAAAATCGAGAATCGCCCTCTAGCGGCTGAACGGTTGAAGATATCAAAATGCGGTTTGCACCAATCAAAATTTCAAGAAAATTGAGCCTCGGAGTGGGGGGTTCATTTTTTTGTATCTCGCTCAGAAATTGACGTTTCCTATTAAAACCATCCAAATTCGGACACCCTGTACAACTGGGCCTTATGGCCATTTCCACCAACTAATTTAGGGAAGCCCTAACGATAGGTATGCCTTAAACTGACATTTCTCCATGTAAAAATGTAAATGTCATTTCAGGGAATACTTATCGTTAGGGCTCCCCTAAAATGGTTGGTGGAAACCTCAGATTAACATATGAAATAGATAGGTTTATTATGATTAAAAAATGCCCCAAACATTGACTCACATTCTAAGATCACTTGCGGACACTTACTGCAGATGTGCCATATTTATAAACTGTCCTAAGTTGTAGGGAAAATGGAATTGGAAATTTAAAAAAATATATCGTAAATAGGTATAAAAACCTATATAGGAATATGTATATATAATTATAACATAAAATATCGCGGTGCTTTCCAAAATTGAATAGGAATAATTATTATATAAAATAATAATCTATTATCACGATAAAATTTGAATAAGAATTTGTGCTAGCTGAAAATGGCAACACTGCCTAAAATCTCAGAACCTGGTTGTATTCGTTTAGGAACGCCTACCTGAATCGTTTTATCTTTGTTAAGATAACCAGATAAAGAAGGATGCAAATATTGCCAGAGCAAGCCCGACCAAAATCGCGAATGCGCTCTAGTATTCATAGTGAGAAATGTCAAACGGGTTTTGTTTTGTAATTGGCCCGCATTGTCCGTAATCTTATCCCCACTTCATGTAGTTCATTCATTAATCCACTATTCTCGTTTAGGATTGTTGGCCGCAGAAACCAAACGATTTTATGAATGACTTGCCCTCTCTATTTATGTAGTGTTACTCTGAGGTGGAAACGGCCATTAATATGTGAACCTGTCAATATTTTGACTGATAAACACCAGTAGCACCAGTATTTCGTATACTCTCCATACAAAAAGTCCCAAATTTTTTTATTTTTCAACGCTCATAGGTATCTCAAGGACCGTAATACCTACAAGATTTCGTCCCATTTAAAGGTTGTTAAAAATTAAATCCTCTACAACATAAAAATCAAAAAATGGGCAAAATTCATAAAGCCCAAAATTTCTATGTAAGGTGTGTGTTATCCTTTCAAAAAAAGAAAAATTATTCTATCCGATAGATAGAGAATTGAAAAAGAAACCAAAAACGTCTCTTGGCAATTTTGCGTCAAAGGCTTTCTGAGGCTAGAAAAAAATTCCAGAATTTTTTTTTTTACTGGAGATTCACCAAAATTGGAAATTAATTTGTCTCAAATTTCGAAAAAAAAAATAAAAAATTTGCGATTTCGCATCTATGGACACTAGTCTTCACTTGGACCTACAAACGTCACATTCACAACGTTGCCGTATTTGAATAATTTTCCTCTTCCCTACAAAACGCCCAAACAAATAAAACAAATAATCAATTTTCCAATAATTATAATAAATAAAAGGTATGAAACAAAAACCTCGAATACAATAAGACTGGTGCGGGAGGGGGTGGGGGAGGGCGTGCGCAAACGCTCCCTTGTCCCTCTGCTTCCATTTCAAACAATAATTATAATAATTAATAGGAAAATGTAAATATAGGTAGGCTAAAATTAAACAATATAGGAACGACAGAGAGACAAAACAGTGGGCCTACGCTCCTACACAACTCACTACTAAATACGTAAATTACAATAAATATTAAAAGTAGGCATCAAATTAATTAAAAAAAAAAAACAGATAAACGTTATAATAATATTATGTTGAATAAAAACAGAGCAGGAAAAGGAAGGAGACACAACAGACAGCGACAATCTATAAAAACAAAATATGTTGCAATTAATTTCAAATTAATAAAAAACAAAACAAAGCCGAGAATCTATAATTATTATTTTTGTATAATAGGAATATATTATTATGCACAGTAATCCTTATCACCTAAAAAAAATCTTTGGAAAGAGTTAACAGTTAAGATTAATAATTAATATTAGTCAAAAATGTATACGTTTTTTTTTTTTTTTTGTATTTTCTTTTTTTAATTCGTTTTTAATATGACAGGACTAAGACACAGTTTAATTTTATTTCGTTTTTGTTTTTTTTTTTTTTTTTTGAAATTCATTAATGCTTCAGTAGGCCAAGCAATGCGCAGCAATAGAGCGTGCGCACGCGTCGCGAAAAGCATTAAAAAATGTACATTTTGAGATTGGCTTGATATGTCAAAAAACACACATACAACAAAATAATTACAACCATTTGTACTCTTTTTCAAACGACTAAATACGAAGATTGAAGCCACAAGGATTTATTTTATTTTTTGTTTATAGGAAAAAAACTATTTCGGAATGTGCCTAGAGTTTGAATTTTTAGTATTTTTCCGTTTTGAGACTTTCTGGTTTCAAGACAATGATGTAATGGGTAATTTCTTAGAGCAGGTAATAGAGACGCGCCATTCTGCTTATGAAACTAAAGTGAAGTCAAGTTTTTGGCACCAAAATACAGGTAAAGCATTGAATTGCCTCTATACCGCCATTTTTTTGGTGTCAAAATACATGTTACTACTCCTTTACCTTTACTTGCTCTAAGGGTAATATCTATAAGAAAATTAGGTATAATCTATTCACAATCCGAAGTCCAAAGGTAAAGGGAGATTTATCACCTTTCAGTTGGTAGTTGATTTTATTTTTATTACCTGCATAAGTTGGTAAACATTTTTATATGTCTTTGGGAGGTTATGCACCTGACAGCGAATTTTGATAATAAACTGAAAAATAGCAGAGCAGGACTGAAGCATATTTTTACATTTTAAATGGATAATATGCAGTTGAAACCCAATCCAAAAGCCAGAACTAAAGGTAAGATTTAGTGCATATTCCCTAAGCGATAACATGATATTATAAAAGTGACATTTGTGTTGCAACGGTATTAAAAGTATCTTATTCAAAGTATAAAAATATGCTTCAGTCCTGCTCTGCTATTTTTCAGTTTGTTATCACAACCTCCCAAAAATGTTCACCAACATATGCAGATGATAAAAATGAAATCCCTATCAACTACCAACTGAAAGGTGATGTAATGACTTTGGATTGTGAATAGATTATAAAAAGGTCTGTTCCAACACTTCCAAGACCTAATAGCAACGATTATAGGTACTAGTTGACGTCACACACATAACCTGACTCTCGATGCCGAATTTATTAGCCTATCCAAAACACGTGATTTTGACAAGGAAACAAAGGGTTTGTGCCTCTTGGCGGACATTTTGGCTATGGTCCGAATATAACCAAACGTTAATCAAATCGCTTGACAGAGATGGTTACTGAAAGTTCCGGTTACTTGGGGAACGCGAATATGAAATAAAAAATAATTGACAGATAAACCCAACAGAAGCGACATCTGATAGCCGGTAACTATTTTGACATTTGGTTAACCAGATTTCAGGAAACCAAGAGTTCTTTTCACGTGGCTCCGGTTTAACTAACCGGGTTACAAAACGGTTAGAGAAATGACATACCGTTTTCTAACCCGGTTACAAAGTGACGTGATGGATACCAACCAATCGAATTTTAGCGGTATGTTGCGGTTTGTTAAACCGGAGCCACGTGAAAAGGGTTAAGCTCCAAAAGTAACCATTTTTCCAGGAACCAAAGTAATTTGATTACTTTCGGACCGCGAAACCACAGCCCTGGTTATATTGGGACCACAGCCTAAAATTTAAGTTTGACAGTCAGCCTATCCTAAACACGTCACTTTGATAAGAAAACAAAGGGTTTGTGTGCTTCTTGACGGACATTTTAATTTAGGTTTGACAGCATCTTGGATAGTCTAATAGTTGTTCCTTAAAAGTCGTGAGTTCAGACTGAACACTTGTTAATAAATGACAAGTAAGTCATGTCAAGATCTGAAGAAACTTTTATTTCCTACTGAACTATTATAATCATATAATACCTTGGTTACGATAATCATAAACAGGGTCTTAATTCCAGGGGAGTTAAGGATATCATAACTCTCGAGGGGAATTTGGGTTTATGGTTTATTCCTTTATAAAAATGGACAAAATACAATAAATTCAGTAGGCAATAAAATTATCTATGTACCACGGGAATTATCAGGTGTCAATACACATGGACAAGGCCCGAGGGACACAAACTTTGACCTGGGTTATTAACACCCTCATAATTCCCTTGATACATAGTAGCTATTTATGTACCAAGGGGATTATGTAGATTTTAATGCCCGAAGGCGAAACTAGCCCGAGAGATATTTTTCGCCTGAAGGGCATTATAATCTAATAATCCCCGTGGTGCATACAATGCTTTATTTTCTACTCAACACGATGTTCTTTCATCAATTTAGTATCAAACAAAATCAGTTAAATTTGTGTGACAGAATATAGTTTTGTATTTTGACATGTACAGGGTATTTGATTATATTTGGCACCATACCTACAGCCTTTACTATTTAAGATAGAAGAAAATTGTAAATACAAAACTTGACAGTTTTTTTCTATATTTTCTTTTGACAATATCAAAAAAAACAAAATCGCATCGGAAAATGGAGAAACGTAGACAACTTCGACTTTTTTAAATGGAACACCCTGTATATTTTGCTATAAAATGAAAGACCTTTTCTTCCTGATTACAAATATATACAGGGTGGGGACTTTAACTGGAACTAATTCGCTAGAGCCTTCGAATAAAATATGTGGACAAAACGCAAAAATACGTCGATCAAGATTTTTTGCTTGAGTTTTTTTCACATTAATTTTTTTATACAGGGTGTTCCAAGAACAGCTGTACGGTTGTCCACTTTATTTTTCCAAATGGTAGCCCCTGTATATTATGACATTTCTGGATTCTGCAGAAAATTCTAGACATATTTCATTCACAATGTCATATACCTATCTTCAACTGTTTCGGAAATATTGACAGCTGAAAATGGACTTTTTTGCAACTTTGACAGGGTGTAAAACCTTAACGGTTAATTTTAGAGGAAAACCGATTTCACACTCCTATCTTAGATTTTCATAAGCTATCATTTGACACCAACTTTGAATTTAATCCATGATTAAAAATTCCAGTTAAATTCAATCTCTAGTTAAATTCGAGGTTTGTGTCAAATGACAGTTTATGAAAATCTAAGACAGGAATGTAAAACTGGTTTTCCTCTAAAATTAACCGTTTAGGTTTTACAGCCTGTCAAAGTTGCAAAAAAGTCAATTTTCAACTGTCAATATTTCCGAAACAGTTGAAGATAGGTATATAACATTGTACATGAAATATGTCTAGAATTTTCAGCAGAATCCAGAAATGTCATAATATACAGGGGCTACCATTTGGAAAAATAAAGTTGATAACCGTACAGCTGTTCTTGGAACACCCTGTATAAAAAAATTGATATGGAAAAATTTCAAAAAAAAAATCTTGATCGACGTGTTTTTGCGTTTTGTCCACATATTTTATCCGAAGGCTCTAGCGAATTAGTTCCAGTTAAAGTTCCCACCCTGTATATGTTGACCACATTTGCGTCAGCCATTTTTGACATATCTTAGCTTAAATTATAACTAAATTACAAAGAAATTTTATAAAGATAGAGATCCTTATGGAACTTCTCTGCAAATTCTTTATAATTTAACCTGAGATATGTCAAAAATTGCTCACGCAAATGTTATCAATATATACAGGGTGTATATTTTAAGTGATACCACTATTGCTATATCCGAAACGGTAAAAGCTACAAGGTCGGTCAAATTAGAAAATAGTTGCCTTTTTTTATGCCCATTTAAGATTCGTTTACAGTGTTGCCAAATTCCTTTTAGTTTCTGAAATACAGGTTCATCATAACTAGGTCCGAATTAAGGTGAAATTTTGGTGAAAATCACTGATGATCACTTTTTAGATCAGAAATGTCGACCAATAATACTTAAGAGGTATATCATTGGAAAGAGAATAGAGGGTGCTTTTTTAAAATGTCATAAAAAATCCAGGTCCGTATTTAAAAAAATGAAGCTGATGATGGTAACTTAACCACGAAATGTCGGATTCGAAATTTGAAGATGCCCTGTTGTAGAGCGAAAAAAATTATAAAACTTTCAAATTTAAATTGTGTCCCGAAAATAAATAGTTTTCGAAATATTTGATAGAATATTTTTAGGCGTTTCTTAGAAATCACCTTGTATTTCATAAACTAGAAGGAATTTGGCAACACTGTAAACGAGTCTTGAATGGGCATCAAAAAAGGCAACTTTTTTCTAATTTAACCGACCTTGTAGCTTTTACCGTTTCGGATATAGCAATAGTGGTATCACTTAAAATATACACCCTGTATATATTTGGAATCAGAAAGAATAGATCTTTCATTTTATCGCATAAGATACAGGGTGTTCCATTAAAAAAAGTCGAAGTTGCTTACGTTTCTCAATTTTCCGATGCGATTTTTTTTTCTGATAACGTTATCAGAAAATATAGAAAAAAACTGTAAAGATTTGTATTTAAAATTTTTTTCTATCTTAAATAGTAAAGGCTGTAGGTCTGGTGCCAAATATAATCAAATACCCTGTACAGGGTCTGTTCCTTATAATTAGTGCGGCCCCTACAACTTAAACAAAAGAAAAAACAAAAAAAAGTTAAATACAAAAGTTGTAGGGTTTTATCTCTATTATCTTTCGTACATGTCAAAATGGGCAAATGACAGGTGCCAACTGTCATAATGATAGCACTTGCATTTTTTTCAAATAGAACACCCTGTATATTTTTAGCTAGGATGATAGATTTTTTTTCTTCCGATGTGTTGATATTTGGTTCAGCTGTTTTTGCGCTATTTCATTTTAAAATTGCATGAGCAAGCCTCATCATTGATATCAGAAACCGGGAACAGACCTTTAGGGTAGGTAATGTAAATACATTTTCAAACTTGAACAGCGCAAAAACAGCTGAAACAAATATCAACATATATGGTATATTTGAAATCAGAAGAAAAAAATCTATCATCCTAGCTAAAACTATACAGGGTGTTCCATTTAAAAAAATACAAGTGCTGTCATTATGACAGTTGGCACCTGTCATTTGCCCATTTTGACATGTACGAAAGATAATAGAGATAAAACCCTACAACTTTTGTATTAAACTTTTTTTTTGTATTTTCTTTTGTTTAAGTTGTAGGAGCCGCACTAATTATGAGGAACAGACACTGTACAAAATAATAATTTTTCAATGTTTTTTACCAGTAACCTAAATGTCAACAACGCGGTGTCTGACCTGAACTTCCATAATGAATTTTGTTTGACAGGTCAGTAGATTGCCTAATTAGTCTATCCGAAACACGTGACTTTGACAAGCCAACAAAGGGTTTGTGTGCCTCTTGGCGGACATTTTTATTTAAGTTTGACAGAACCTTGGAATTGTCAGCCTATTCAAAACACGTGCTTTGACAAGCCAACAAAGGGTTTGTGTGCCTCTTGGCGGACATTTCACTTAATGTTTGACAGTATCTTGGATAGTCAAATAGTCAAACGCTTTATTTTCCCATCAAAAATGAGGTTATGTGTATGACTTCATATTAGCTAATGCTTAATTGTCATAGTTCCCAATTTTTCCCGAATACAACCGTGACCAGGACCCGTGCAGTCTGTGCCCTGGCATGGGGCGGCAAAATCGGAAAGCGGCAAAATCGGAGGGTGGCAAAAATTTCGGAGAGAATTGTTGAGTTAACATGTCTTATAAATCATATTTTTTATATGCCGGGAATAGACAAAAATTAAGAAATAAGGGAGAAGGAATGAAAGAAAAATTGAGAAAAAATTGGTAGATAAGAGGACAAGAGGGTATTCATGTGTTTTTCTATTCCAGGCTCTTGTTTGACAAATTACCATAGGGGTGGTTTTTTTGAGAGTTCAGTTCAAATTGCAATTAATGTTGAATCAGAACGACAAAGTAGGGAAAGAGGGGCGGCAAAAATTAACTATTTGCACGGGGCGCCGAAATGTCTGGAGCCGGCCCTGAGTTCACTACATCCCTAGCAGTACATACATATAAACTTCCTTGTTCTCTAGACACATTCTTCTTTTTTTTATTTCTAATAATATATTGTATATTATATAATAAGATATAAATAATTGTTTTTTTTTTTCCTTTTTTTTTAAATTATTATTATATCACCAACACCTACCTACTTGATTCAATGTTTTTTTTAATAATAATAATAGTTATCGGAAATAAATAAATTCCAATCAAAAATATATCATCGTTATTATTATTATTAATTATGTATGTATGTATTTATTGCTCTGGTGGTGTTAATATGTACAATATACGTAGTTAGAGTGGGTTGCCGCCATTTAATACGGCAATATTATTTTTCATAAAAGTTGGGTAAATATATAAGTAGTGTATATATCGAACAAAATGGCGTCCGTCTAGCGCCCTGTATAAATATAGTATAAAAAAACGCACACTCTAAAACAAAACTAACGAAAAATAACACGTGTAAATAGTGAATAAAAAAATAATTCTTAAGGTGTGTATAATAATGTGTAAATAAAACGTTTTTTTTTTTGTGTATTTTTCGTTGTTTTTTGTAAAATAAAATTCACACCTAATGAGTATACACTGGAAAATAATCAATTAAAACAAAATAAACAAAAAAATTATCACGTCAATAATTATTATTATAGTATAACAACAATAATCAATTAAATATTGTACTTTTCCGATTGTGCCTAAAAAAATTACCCGAAACGAAAGCACACACACATGCTCATCTTTTTTTTAAGGCTAAATATACATGACAACATGTCAAAACTCTTGTTTTTTAGAATTTCATTATTTAAAATTTCAATACTTTTCATGTTACCCCACATCTTATTTTTGTTATAGTTTGATGTAAAACAATACATACATAGAGAAAAAGAAGAAACTGACAAGTCAAAATCGCATCTGATTCGACGGTAAACAACAATGACATCTCAACACAGACAGACTCATTCATAAACTGACGTTTTTTGTGTTGACAAGACACACCATGGACCAGAAAAGATGAGCTGCTCGAGGGGGATCATGGTGAGGATGTATCGGAGGTGTAAATAAGACCCGCCAAAATAATGAAGAAATGCGTGCACTCTGACTCCACTTCAGGAATGAATTTTGTCCTTAGGGTGAAGTTACTTAGTCTTCCTACAGATAACTTGAATATAGAGGCTAATTCCCAATATATTTGAGGGATAAAAGGTCTCTCTTACTTCCTTTCGGGAACTCCGCCCAGAGTTATACATACATTGGCAAGGTCGTTTACTGTAATGTCTATCTGTGTTTATATGTCATTGGTAAAAAACCCTAAAAAGTCAAACACTCTTCACTATATCAAAACTACAAATAGTGTCAGGGTAAACATGAAAAGTCCATTTAACGCCAACTAGTAATATATAGATGATTAAAATTGGAATATTTTTTTTTTGGGACAAAGAATGGGAAGGGGAACAGGGTGTTTTTTAAAAAGCCAAAAGGGCTCCTACAGTACACTGATATAATATAGATATAATAATGAATGTATATTTTTTTTTTTTTTAAGTAACAATGCTTTGTTTTTCCTAAATTGAAAAAACAGCTAGGGCCGAAATAATAATAATTGTTCATCATTATTATCGTGGAATGATTATTAAATATACATTATTATAATTAATAGCTAAAACAAACAAAAAAAAACAATAAAATTTAAAAAAAAAAATACTGGGAAATACTTCTTATTGCTATTTTGTTTTTCCAAGTTGTAAATAATTATTATTTTTTTTTTTTTGTATAATAATATAATATGGCAAACAAATATTTTGGTATACAAACATCTAAAAATTTATTATTTTTGGTTGACTTAAGACTACAATAATAATCAATTTGACAAATAAAAAAAACGCTGACTTTTTTTTGTAAAAACTATCCAAAAAATTTCTATCACATTTTTTCCTTTTTTTTGTAAAAAATAATAAATTTGATTTTTCTTTGGTTGAAACGTCTCTGAGCAAATGCAAATAAAATGTCAAATATATTTTGAGATTACTCTAAAATCTTAAAAAGTCCTCGTAATGCGGATTGTTGCTAAACAAGAAAATCTGATATAACTTGTTGCTTTACAAGGACCCCATCACTAAAAGTGTATAATAAAATTTGTTTTTTTCTTCTTCTAAATACATAAACGATTCGAGAAACTTTTTTTTTTTTTTGTTCACACCTAATTTTTAACAACAAGGAATCTCACACACTCGATTAAAATATTTTCAACCTGAAATACTATTATCACAGGCATTTAAGACTCAGCCTACCCCCTCTTTGAAAGATACAGGGCTGAAATAGGCCTAACCTTGTTTTTTAAAAAAGGGGTTTGGTGTCTAGTTTTTTTAGCGGAAATTAAAAATTATTATTTAGAGGGAAAAATCGATTTCTAACCTACAAAAAATGGCACTCGTATATTGCGCGATATCGAATTTATAATTTTGAATCGCAATTGATTTATTTGCGATCCAAAAAGAAAATTCTATCAAGAGAAAAACACCTGAGTAATAAAAAAAATTAATATAAAAAATGGTAAAATTTTCACGTTTCCGGCGGTGCCCCCAATATACCACGGGGGGACCAACCACGAAAATTCCTCGAATTTTCTCAAGCAAGCAGTTAAAAACAAAAATAAAAGCATAAAATTCCTAAAAAAAAAAAATTGGCACTATTAACAGCGATAAAATAAAACCTTAAAATCCCTAAAAAAAAAAAAAATGTAAAAAATAAATAACGATAAAAATAAAAAATATAGGAACCTTCGAAAAAAATGTACATAAATTAAAAACTGGTTTCCAGCGAAAATTAAAATTCAGTCAATAATAAAATAAAAATTAATAAAACTGAAAAAGTTACCTCTTCAAAAACTCTTAAAACACTCAAATACAATAAAAAAACCTTCAAAATACTCAATTTGAAAATTCAGTCATTACGTCGCTGCTGATTCTCGCCAAATCCTGTCCTATTAGGTGGGAGGCAAAATGTACAAGGTGTTCAACACCAACACATGATGATTATTCTTTGCCAGAGTCACCACGTACCCTTCGGAGGTTATTTTCAAGCCGCAACAACGCGAAACCTAAAAAAAACAAAACCTTAAAATTTCACCAAAAACAATTGACAACTCTCACCTTGACATAAGGACACTCAAATTCCGAAACCAGCGAGCCGTCTCTAGAAAAAACGGCCACGTGGAAGCGATTGCCGTGCGAGTCCCCGATCAGAACGTCCCCAGCGTCAGAAATGTCGATGCCGTTAGGAAAGTTCGTCAAGTCTTCGGCGCCGATGCGCCGCAAAAATTTTCCCTCCTCGTTGAACACCACCACGTTGTGTCCTTTGAAATCGCAAACGTAAAATTCTTTACCTGGAAAAATTAATACAAAGATTTTTAGTCGCATTACTAGAATGAGAACAGCAATTTTATTAAAAAGAAATCAGTTACTGAAAACAATTTAGAAAAGAAATGTTAGTTGAAGATATAGAGGGCTGGGACTCTGTAACAAATAAAGATTGTTATCCCTATCGCTTCCTATCCTCTTTTCTTTCTTAGAAATCGATAAAAAGAGGACGCCAATAGAAATAAAGAAAATACATATGTATCTTTATTTGTTACAGAGTTCAAGCCCGGGATGTCAATTTAAAAACTACCACACCATGGAAATTTTCAGAAAAAATTCAACTATAATTTAATTGACAAAATTCAATTCTCCCCTTTCAACGCTCTAACCCTCAAAATCACTCTCTAAAAAATCTGAAATAGGTAATACAGGGTGATTCAGAAGTAAGCGGCATCCTTTCGGGAGCGTATTCCTTGCATAAAAATAAGACAAAAAGTTCCTATTAACGTGGATCCGGAAATGCTTCCTAAGGGAGTTACGCCCCTTCGAATAGGACACCTGAAAGACGTATTTTTCTCTATAACTTTAGAACCCTTCACAAATGGATTTTGAGTTGAGTGAGTGAGTGAGTGAGTATGTGACACTGATTACCATTTTTGAATTTTCAATTTAGTATCTTAATTGCCATCAAATGTTTATAAAATACACCAATTTTAAAAATCCATTTGTGAAGGGTTTCAAAGTTATACAAAAAAACACGTCTTTCAGGTGTCCTATACGAAGGGGCGTAACTCCCTTAGGAAGCCTTTCCGGACCCATGTTAATAGGAACTTTTTGTCTTGTTTTTATGCAAGGAATACGCCCCCGAAAAGATGCCGCTTACTTTTGAATCACCCTGTATAGTCTAGGAGGCAGTGACGATTTCCATTACTTATTTCCTCAGTAAGATAACATAGAAAGGGATCATAGGGTTAGTAATTCGATTATATAAACAGACTATCTCGTCCTCACCTGTAGGTGAAGACGTTCAACTGGGGACGATAACTCGGGGAGAATTTTTAGCACGGGGATTATCTTACTAGAGACTATTTATACAATGGTAATTCTAAGCAAAATTCATATACAGGGTGTCCCACGACGTTTTTCCCAGGTAATAATTTCGGAACGCGTCATCCAATATAATTGAAATTTTGAGGATCTGGTAACTTTTTGTGCTGCTTCTACCATTGTCATCCAATTTCACCACTTTCGCTTCAACTTCAGTCAAGTGACGTCAACTTCCAAATCTTAAATGTAACTCATGGTATATTATGGCATTTTTTTGTTAGAAAATTGAATAACAAAATTGGCAATGCCGTATTTGTTGAGGCTTTGTTAAAGAAAATGATAAAAAAAATATACAGTGGAACATACGATGATGCGTTCCGAAGTTATCATTTGGGAGAAACCTCATGGGACACCCTGTATATTTAGGGGGGTTTTCCGATGGGTTGAGGCGCAAAATGCGTTAGAGCTTACGAATGCTCGGCCCTTTTTTTTTCTTCTATTGTAATAAATGTAAAATATTATTCATGACTGGGAAAATAAATGTACTTGTATTTTTCATTGATCTTATGAACCACAGATTATTATGAACCCATCCAAAAATTTCAGCCAGATTCAAAAATTCTTGTTTTGTATCACCAAGAAAATAAACTATTTCATTCTCCCCCCTACGAAAATAGATCTTTTTATCTTGCATAGGCGAGCGGAAGCGAAAGTGAAACAGGCTAGTAGTTACTTTCACTTTCGCTACTAGCATGTTTCCCTTTTGCATGCCTATTTACAATTTATGAGGGGGAAGAATGAAAAATTTAATACATTACACGCTGCAAAAGTCCTTTTAGGTGCTCGTAGGTATTCAAATAGCCTTGGCTGCGCTTCGCTTCGCCTCGGTTATTTGGATACATCTTGTACCTAAAAGTATGCTTTCGCAGCTTGGAATGTAAATAACTATTTAATATACACAAACTCGGAAAATAGGTGCTACAAATTTCACTTACTCCTGGACTAATAGAATACAATCATTTCAACAGCCAAGTTTGAAATCTCTGCTGTCACTCCCATTCATATGACAGATTCTGTGTTACAGCTTGTCAAAAAAAAAAACCTTCCACTTCAAGATTTTGACAAGATGTCATGTCAAGAGTTGTGACAGCCGAGACAGAAGTCAAAAGTCATTGGTCGACTCGAAATACCTTTGAAATGACGTAAAGTATAACCATTATAAATTGAAAATCGCATCTCTATGGTGACTACTCAAAATTAGAAAAATACCCCTTATAATAATATAAAATAATTTTTATATTTTTATGCCTAGTCCTGGTACACTATAACAAAGACACCGCACGCCGGCAAAAAAATTTGAAAATTGTGGGCGATGCTGCTGGGCTTTATCGCTTTCCGACAAAGCTGAGCCGCTCTTGTTGACAGTGTGAGATATTCTCTTTAGAAGTGGACAAAAGTATAAAATTACACAGATAATTGAATAAAAATCAATTTCAAATTTGAATTTTTAATAAAGGAATAATATTCCCATTCAAATATTTATATTTGATTTATTTCAATAGTTTAAAACAGAATTTTAAGGATTACCTACTATATGAATTTTGCCCATTTATTTAATGTATTAACTCCACTGTATTCTAGAAGTAAATCAGCTAGAATTTCCGGGCAATGGCGTTCGTCATTTCAGTTTTTATAAAAATATCTGGAGTATGTTTATTCTTTATTAATCAATTTGTTTTCATTTGTCATGATAATAATATTTAGACGCCTATGGATTCCCATGTGACTTCAAAGAGATCAACTGAGCCGCCTTTTTTATGAAGTTTCAATTAATAATGGTTAAACTATACCTATCGCTTAAGATTTCATAGAGGGTGGTTCTGGAGAGGCAATTTTTATTTATTTATTTATTCAGTATCGTCTACATCTTGCATTTACACAGAATGTCTAAAACTACAAACTACCCAACAACCCTAACATCCTAATCTACTTTGTACCTCTTCTTAAATAAAATTATTTTACTTTGAAAAATATCACAATTTGTTCCATTGATTATATCACACATTCTTACTATATGTGAGGTAAACTACCTGTTTGTTCTTGGTGTATCATAAGTTAATATCTGTGACTGTTTAGTTCTCAAATCTGGTACTCTTATATTCATCAGGCTCAACAGATATTCATCTTCCACATGATAATGAAGAAGTTTATACAAAAACATTACGTTAAAATATTTTCTTCTTAAATCTAACCTACTGTAACCATGTTGGATACACAACACATCATAATATGGTACATCAACTGGGTAAACCCCGAATCTCTTAAAGTGTAATCTTTTCAAAAATTTCTTTTGACAATTTTCTATTGCATGGATTGACCTGTGATAACATGGGTCCCATACAACTGATGCATATTCTAACTTTGCCCTAGCTAGTGAATCATACAAAAGTTTGACTGTAGAAATTCCCATATCTTCTGTGTTACAATAGATAAACCCTATAATCTTAAGTGCTTCACTATTTTGTCCACGTGATCATTATAGTTATTGAGGTATCAAGGATATTATAAGGATATTAACGCTTGAGGTCAATGGTGTATTTCCCTCAGGCCTCTGGCCTAAGATTTGTTAAATTTGATATATTATTTTTTCTGTCTCAAATTTCCTCTATTTCCAAAAGTGTACAAACACAGTGCAAGCAGATTTCCGCTTACCGGTAACCCAGTGCCGAAAATGAGTGCATGTTTTTAAATTGGCTAGTACACAGTTAAAAGTAGGTAGAGGCCTTCTCGCTTTAACCAGAATGAAAATTTAGATTATTTCTGCTTTTGCACGCGTTGCGGCAATGTCTTTTCAGTCTTTGTGATGGATAAGGAGTTACTAATAGCTGCAATTTTTGAAAAAAACCCTATTGACTAGCATGACAATCGAAATGTAGTCCACAAATATTAGAGGGAAATAATATTCTGCATAGGTACGGGTTTCTTTCACGATTAAAAATATGGTATACCGACTCTTTTTTTTTAAATTTAGTATGCACAGAAGCTAGAACAATCAAATCATCATTGTTTAGATTTCTTTAATAACTCAAGTCATTTATTGCACGTCATCGACGGTTCACAACACGCCCTATGTTATCGAACGCCCCATGTTATCGAACGCCCCTCAAAAAATAGACAAATGAATATAACCCAACATTTTAATGACAGTTTCGGTCTGGAAGATTCGATTCCAGTATCATCCAGTTACACACACTCAGCGCAACAAGTTCCGTGTCAATGCACTTCCTCCACGTGGTTAAAAAACCAACACTGTTAATTGCTATAATTAATTTAATCGTAACATTGTACTGTTCGTCTTTGTTGATCCGTTTGTTTGCGGTAGTAAAAGTGTTTTGAGTTGGAATTAAAACGATTAAAAACTAACCGCGTTCGAGTTTTATTAAAACCACCCAAGGTCTATCTGGTCCACTCTATCGAAGGAACTCTAAAATCCCCACAATCATCATTCAAAGATGACATATTTGCTAGGCTAAAAGTTCGAGACGAGAGACAACTGGCAGGTATTCACTCTGTGTTATCTTGGCGCGAGAACACTGCGCAGATCGGCGCTGCTTACCAGTAAGCGAAAAACCTGCTTGCACTGTGTTAATTTATCAATTAGTATTTTTCTATTGACTCTATCAAAGGCCTTTCCAAAATTCAGGTAAGTACATGGACATCTATGAACAAGTTATCAGGTTTGTGAATGTTGATTTGCCTTGTCATGCGAGGTCATTTGAGCATTCTGGAAGAATACGAGTGTACAGGGTGATCTATTATAAATGTAACCCCCTGCTAACTTTTTCATTTGACGTTTTTGACAGAAGTGTCAAATACAAAAGTTTCAAGAAATTGTCAATTTTTTTTAACTAAGTCAGTTTTAGGCATACAGGGTGCGTCAAAAAAGTGCAGCAGTGTGAAGTTATATTTTTTTAAATGGAATACCCTGTATATTGTGCGTCTATTTGTTAGTCCCCTTTAACCTGATTTCAACGATATATGGTTTGATATGTTTATCCCTCGGTTTATCTTTAATAGTTATAGGGAAAAACACGAAAATTCCTTCCTAGGTCTCTCATGTTATTTTTTTAAAAATAAAAATAATAGCTTAGACATCTGGATTTATTATAATATTTCACCTTGTATATTAATGAATAAAATTTGAACAATAAACTGATAATAAAAAAAATTCTTTAAAGCTTAAATGGTATAATTTTCCTTTTTTCAATAATATGAAACCTTAAAAGGGGTTTTCATGTTTTTCCCTATAACTGTTGAAGATAGACATATCAAACCCTATATCGTTGAAAACAGGTTAAAGGGGACTAACAAATAAGCGCACAATATACAGGGTGTTCCATTTAAAAAAATATTACTTCACGCTGCTGCACTTTTTTGACGCACCCTGTATGCCTAAAAATGACTTAGTTGAAAACTTTTGACAATTTCTTGAAACTTTTGTATTTGAAACTTCTGTCAAAAACGTCAAATGAAAAAGTTAGCAGTGGGTTACATTTATAATAGATCACCCTGTACAACACTAATTCAAACACTTTTGAAAAGTTGGGCAATATACAGAGTGGCAAAAAAGTCGCGCATAATACCTGTAACTTTTTAATTACCTCGTATACGAAAAAGTGACCTTAAGGAAAGTTGCTCAGTAAGTTATTTCCCACATTTCTACCTAGACAATTTGTTTCTGTCACTTCTGGTTTGTTTGCTATCCAGACCAACTTTGTTTTTTCAAATGGAACACCCTGTATGTGATTGCATATTTGGATTCTACATAAAATTCTGAGCAGATTTCATGTGATATACCCTATATCTAAGATTAATTGTTTTGGAAATATTGACAGTTGAAAATTAACTTTCTTGCAACTTTGATAGCGTGTAAAACCTAAACGGTTAATTTTAGAGGAAAACCGATTTCACATTCCTATCTTAGATTTTCATAAACTATCATTTGACACCAACTTTGAATTTAATCGGAGATTAAATTTAATTGGAATTTTTAATCATGGATTAAATTCAAAGTTGGTGTCAAATGATAGTTTATGAAAATCTAAGACAGGAATGTGAAATTGGTTTTCGTCTAAAATTAACCGTTTAGGTTTTACAGCCTGTCAAATTTTCAAAAAGTCAATTTTCAATTGTCAATATATCCAAAACAGTTGAACTTAGGTATAGGGTATATCACATGAAATCTGCTCAGAATTTCTTGTGGAATCCAAATTTGCAATCACATACAGGGTATTCTATTTAAAAAAACAAAGTTGGTCTAGATAGCAAACGAACCAGAAATGACACAGGCAATACGTCTAGGTAGAATTGTGTGAAATAATTTACTGAGCAACTTTCATTAAGGTCACTTTTTCGTATACGAGGTAATTAAAAAGTTACAGGTATTATGCGCCACTTTTTTGCCACTCTGTACTTATTGCTCTATAACTCTCTAGATCACACTTATTGCCCTTTTTAAAGATTAGACAGACCTTGCTTAACTTCCAAATTTCAGGATATTTTCCTTCTTTCATGCATAAATTAAATATTGTAGTGAGTATTGGCGCGAAAATAAACTTGCAGTCTTTTACTACAAAAGCTGGAACGTTATCTAGTCCCATAGTTTGTTTTGGGTTCAAATTATTTAAAGCACTTTCATGACTTCTTGTTTACTTACTCCAAATCCGGAGTCTAACAAGTGAGTCATACAAACTGTCAGCTGGTGTATATACACTTTTGAAAAAAATAGCAACCGTTTCAGCAATATTTGAGTTATTGCCAGGGCTGCTGTTGTAATGTCTGCCCAGCGAGTCTGTGTCTACGGAGCAACGGTAAGGGGAATGCAGTTGTAAAAAAAAATGGCTGATTTCATTCATAAAATACCCAGTTGCGTGCGGAACTTTTTGGAAGTATTATCGTATTGCAACTCGTACACGAAAATCAGCAATGACCAAATCTCCGCCACCGGACATGTCAATATAAATCGATATTCCAAGATGGGAGGATAAAATGACGTGAGCCCTGGCCAATAGCGAGACGTAAGGTGACGTTAGCTCTTTGACAACCATATGGTTCCACATGACAACGGCGATCCTGCCAAAAACTCCACCAATCAGGTTCATCTAGGACGGATGCTTGCCAAATTGTCAAAAGCAGAGACCTCGGGCCCTTGCCCTAATAAGCTGTCCTGCCACCCTTTTCCAGCAAGTTCTTACGAGGCTGGATCGACTTTTTAGATAGGGGACCTCGAGACCTTCAATCTGATACCCTACTTAGGGCATAACTCGATAGGGGTAGTGTTACGTTTTTTTCAATTTGTTAAAAGATATTTCCTGCAGCATTTGCTCTCAGGCAGGAATACCAGAAAATAGATGCACATAATCCTATATATTGATAATAGTGTCGACACATAACTCGATCGGGGTAGGAAAAATGCTGTCGTCTCCCAGACTAACTGTTAATGACGTTTATCAAAGTTGCATTTTTTCAATATAAATAGTTGTTAATTGTTTAATAAAAATCAGTATTAATCCAACAGTGGTTCTTACTTCCCAGTTACCAACCTTCCCGGGTATACTAACCCAACCTACAAGCCACAAACAACAAACTACCAAGTGTTCTGAGCATCCTCCTAAATTCCAATACAGGAATTTGCAAAAAGTTTTCAAATTGACACCCTGTATAACTGAATAGGTTTCACAATGTCCTCTATATTCAGATGCCACTCTCAACTACTAGTATTTTTGTTTTTTCCTTTGTAAGTTCTTCAAAAATGTTCCAGCCCTTAGAAATACATTGAATTTGCAGCAAAACTTCCCCCATAACCCACAAATATGGACCTTAAGCACTAAAAAAAATTCTTACCATGTATAGCAATATCAGACGGCTCCCGCATATAATCGCTACAATCAAACCATCTCAACAACTCTCCATTTTCGTGAATGATAAACACAGTGGGGCTGACGCTGTCAACGGCCACAATCTCTCCCGTAGCTGTCACGGCCAGCCCGGCCACAATGTCAATGTACCTGATGGCAATCTTCTTCAAAAAATGCCCGTTTTTGGTGAAAATTTGCATGCGCGAACGCTCGTTGCCCCTGTCGCACACAACGTATTTGCCTGTGTTGCGCATCACCGCCACCTTGCGTGGGTACCAAAGCTGACCCTCCTCCTTGCCCGGAATACCGAATTGAAACTTAAACGAACCAGTTTTGTCAAAGATCTATTTAAAAAAAAAATAATAATTAATTAATTATAAATTTATAGGATTCAATTAAGTATAAATACCTGAATTCTATGATTATTAGTGTCGGCAACGATTATATCTTCTTCGGCTCCCAAACAGAAACCGTGCGGCGAGTTGAATTGGCACTTGCTGGGGCCCAATTGGCCGAATTTGCACCGGATTTGCATCGGTGCCACTTTGGTGGTGCGATTCGGGGTGGAACCGGCCGCCGTTGTCATAACACTACCCATCGTACCATCTATAAATCGAGATAAAACATGGAATTAGATTTATCTATCATAATAGGTTCAAAGTTATTTGCAAAAATGTGAAAAATATCGCGTAAAAGTGTTACCCTCGATTTGTAATTGTGGATATTCATTATCTGAATGGCCCCCCATGTTGGGAGAAGCAATAGCGATGTTCCTGTAACAACCAGCCACAGAGTTTTGTGGTTATTTGAAAAACGGAGCACTTTGAAGTTGAAACTAGAGGTAAATGATTTGCTTTATGGAAAAATACGCTTACGAAAAATTAAAGTCGAACAAGGTGAAGCACAGATACCAATGACCGTTAGTTTTTGAATGAGATTGCTTTTGTAGGCAACAATGAACAAAATTCACTTGTCACTTGTCATTGTCGAGGCTGGTTCCTATAATTAATAGGTTGTTTGGTAAGGGGTAACTTGATGACGTCATCTGAGATGCCTTATGGAGACTTGCATTATGTTGAGATGAGGTCATAAAGTACAACAACCTACCTCTCTCAAGTCTCAAACAACCTTGATTGGGAGAGGAAGCTAAAAATTAGTTAAAAAAGGTTGTCTAAGAACTGGTTTATTAGTGAAGGATTATTTAGTTTAGCTGTTGATTAACTAATAATTATCATTGGTTAACTGACCACTAAAGTAGATAACCGTCCACTGATAGATCGGTCCTTGAAGAAGTAGGTTGCACTTTTATGACGTCATCTGTGTGCGGATTTACCTCATTCCCGCCCCCTAAAACACAACCTTCTACAAAATCTGTGTGTGAAAAACCATTTGAAACTCGATTTACATCAAATTTTTCGAATTTGTGAGAAAAAATGTGACTGTTCTAAAATAATCTGGAGTAGGTGCAGTTGAAAACAAAACGGAGTAATTTGGGAACTAATCAGAAAATAGAGATTTGATATACAGAGCTGTTTTCGGATAATTCCAAAACCTTCGATACATCCCAGAACCGTTCTAAATACACTTTCAGTGCGTAAATAGTTTTACTTTAGAACAATCCAGAATAAATTCAAACCTAAAATAAGTTCAAAAAATTATAAGTTGTGTGTTCAGAATTGTTCCAAATGATTCAAGTACGATCAAAAAGGTGTTCCCGAGTAGGAAAAGTAAGGAAATAGATCCTTAACAATCAGAAACTCTATAAAGTCTGTTTTTTTTTAAAGATAATTCCCCAAGTCAAAAATTTAGTAATGTTGGCAACACAAGCCTTTCCTACATAAATAATTTTAAAGCATTGACAATTTTACATTGTATTGCCAAGATAATGTCACTTTGACTTTTATCTTTAAAAAAAAAACACATTTTATGAGAATTTTAAGACAAAATATGACTGTTCTAGAACAAGTTGTATGTTCGGAGCTGTGCTCAAACGATTCGAGAACAATGGAATCAGTTCCAGATAGAGTTGGAACAATAACAGAACATTTTTAAACCCATCCAGGGCTGGTATCGCGACAAGTAGAATTCTACTTTCATGACGTCACCCGCAACCTGACATCAGGAAAGTAGCCTTCTGGTAAAATTCTACTTGTCGCGATCCCAGCTCCAGAACTCAATACCACATCTGTGCGCGTTCTTTTTAACATATTATATAATTTACTCGGATAACCTCATATCAAAATGAAATGAAACGAACCGTAGAATAACACACACTACTACAGAATTGCTTATCGGCCTCGTTTTTCTTAAATTTAGGTCATACAGTGTAGCACCATCGTCGACGTCATCACTGGTACTTTGGCGTAGTAGGGGGCTTGAAATTTGAACTATAGAGGCCCACTGATCTCAAAAATAAATGGATAAACAATCCTACGGCATGATTCAAGGTTGTTTGAGAGAGGTAGGTTGCCTGGGCTGCGTTCAGGAATGGCTACAGCCAAGCCAAAATTGGCATTTTGCGTTCAAGTTTGGCTCCAACCTACGTGGTTCGGCATTACCGGTGGAGGGGGAAAAGTAGGTTTTGGCATTAGCATTGCCGTCTTTGAACGCACCCCCGGTAACTTTATGACGTCATCTGGGGTGCCTCAGCGTAATGCAAATCTCCATAAGGCACCCCAGATGCGTCATCAAGTTACCCATCACCAGACAACCTATTAACTTTAAGGACCTTCGGCTTGATTGGCTAAAGTTGCGCGAAAATTTTGAGTCAATAGTAGCTGAGTTCGGCTATTCAGCGCGGAGTTGGAGTGGAGTGAACAGAGCTAATGGAGTCACCCCTAATACCCTAAAAAGCAATACCCGAACCTTAACCCGAACGGCTGGCGTGCGAATGGAGTTACTCCGAGTGCACGGAGTGAGCAAGCCGAACTCACCCATTCTATGAACAGTTGCGCAACGGAACAGCCTAACGCCTGCGCTGTGTAGGGTTGCCACCTCTCCGGGTTTCACCCAGAGTCTACGGGTTTTCACATATGGTCTCCGGGTTCTGTATTACTAGGTGTTTTCTCCGGGTAAAACCGCATTTAATGAAAAAAAACGTAAAAATAATTCTTATGTCCAGGAAAAAAAAAATAAGATTTAGCAACAGCGCAATACTGTTCCTGCTCTGCCTTAAGGATATTACACACTACTGCTCATCGGCCTCGATTTTTAGAATCAAGGTCATGTGGTGTTGCACCGTTGCCGACGTCATCAACGGTGTCGTTAATTGTTTGCGCCAGCGGTCTTAGTTTGAAATATACATTTATGATGAAAAATATTATTTAATTTTGAATAACCTAATAAGCAAACCGCAAACCGGAAGATCCAAACGAGATCTAAAAAGGGTTGTTTTAGAATGTTGCTTATGGCCGTTTGCACCGACCATTTTAAGGGAGTTTTAACGATAGTCAACGATTAAAGTGACATGTAGAAATGTCACTGTAAGCGTTTATTACCGTTAAACCCCCCTTAAAATGGTCGGTGCAAACGGCTATTAGTGCGGCTAGATCAATCGTTAGTTAAGTCCTTGTTAGTTAACAAAAACCTCAGATTGTGTCAATATCAATATGAGATTGTTTTTGTGTGGCACAATCTGAGGTTGTTATTTGCTAACAAGGACTTGACTAACGATTGATCTCGTCGCCCTTAATGTACTAAAACTAAAACCAAGTATGCATAAAGCAAAAGTCAGCGGAATCATAGCCTGTGATGCAAACACCCTACGTCAAGGCGAGAAACGACACGCTGTCTATGTCATCACTGGTGCTTTGGCGTGGTGGGGGGCTTGAGATTTGATCTACAGAGGCCATATGCGGATAGGCTATCCTATAGTTGTCCTATCCTGTGTAGTGTGTAATAATCCTGGAATCTCCCTCTCCAACCGTCTCAACTCCCAACCCTGAAGATTCATCAGGTGATGCCAGGGGAGACTTGTATATAGATAGAGTGTACCTAATGCATCTGTTATCAGATTTGTAGGATTTTTTTTTTCAGCTTTTTTTTTCAGCTTTTTTTTTTCAGGTTTTTTTTTCTCCGGTTCAACTTACTTTTCAAGGTGGCATCCCTAGCGCTGTGTCTTATCTTTCGAACAACTGTTCTAAATTTTGGAATATCCTTCATTTTCATTGGCTATACTTTGCGCTCGCACAGTACATGTATCTATTGCGCATGCTCACAGCTGTCCCAGTTGTTTACAATAGGTCTGTTTCTGCAGAAATCACAAACCAGTCAGAGCGAATTTCATTGGTTGAAAACAATCAGAAAACTAGTTTCAACCAATGAAATTGACTCTGACTGGTTTGTAATTCCTGCAGAAACAGACCTATTATGACCTCGTAAATTAGCAGCATTAGAAGCATTCTTTGTTTATCCTTTTATTTTTGAGACCAGTGTAGGAGCCTTACGAAGATAAGCTATCTATCCTGTGTAGTGTTTACTGTTTAATATCCTTGAACGAGAACCTTGTTAGTGCCAACCTAACATCTTGCAGTTTCACCAACAGTTAAATAAATATATGTACCCAAGTCTCCCAGCTGCGTACACATTTTGCATTTTCTTCATTTTATACAGTTGTGTCCCTCTCATTGGTCCCTCTATGGCTCACTCTTTTCATATAAGAGACAGGTCTATCGTACCGATCAAAATTTACTATAGATTGATACATCAAGCAACTTTTGTCACATAAACATAAGAAACAAAATGACGTTATTTTCAAAATTGAGATTATTTGAGAATCGAAAATGTGGGCAAGGACCAAGGTTGTTTGAGAGAGGTAGGTTGCCTCATAACTTTATGACGTCGTCTAGGGTGCCTCAACATAATGCAAAATTCCATAGGGCACCCCAAATGCGTCATCAAGTTACCCATTATTAGACAACCTATTAACTTTAGGAACCTAAGGCAAGGACTATGCCGTCAGAGTCGCCGAAATCAATAAAAATGCGAGGATGCCGAATTTCTTATCAGTACATTATTCTAAAACATGACCGAGTCGAAATAAAGTAATGTACTACGAAGCGGAAACTTCATACATCAAAACCTATTTGCGTCCTTAACTAAAGTGCGTTTTTTTTAAAGATAAAAGTCAAACTGACATTAGGTTGGCAATACAATGTAAAATTGTAAAATGTAAAATCTTTTTATTTTTTATACATTATGACATATTAAGTTAGAAGCTAGTTCATAAAGCTACTCTATCGAAAAACCAAAACTACTTACCATTAGATATAATATCGTCGGGAGTGTGCAAAAGCGGCGATGTCGAAGTGGAAACGCCCCCAAACCCGTTTATCATCCCATTACCCAAATTCAAAGAAACATTCGAGGTACTGCGCACAAGAAGATTCCCACCATTGGCCGCCATAGTCGATCCAGATCCAGGATCGACTGAAAAAGAATCTTTAAGAATTTCAAAAAAAAAATAAACATTAAAAAAAAAAAACAACCTAAACTAACAAACACACTCACCGTTCAATCCCAATTTGGCCAAAGAAGCTAAATTCTTATAAGCGGTATCGTTGATGAGTAAATCGGCCAAATTAAACGCAGGCGGCGACTGCGCGGTGGCAACACCGTTAGTAGTTTCGGCCAAGGTGGCCAATTGGGCCAAATTAAATTCGGCAATGCTCGAAAACCCTTGCAAGGCCGGAGTGGCCGTGACGTGCGGCAACGGCGAGCTCAAAGCGGCACGATACGTGGCAACGTTGTTATTGTCGACTTCGATTCCTTCAAAGGACTGTACGGAGCTGGCGCTGGAAGTTGCTCCGTTGGTTTGCAAGCGCTGATTGTCTTCTTCAGTGATGAAGGTGCAAATTTGTTCTTTGATTTGGTCGCGGTATTGATCGAAGGTGCTTTTGAATTCCAGCCAGTAAGCGTTGTCGGTGCTTATTGGTTTGTTTGGGTTGAGCGTCACCAGGCGTTTGGTGATGATGTTTTTTAGATACATCATTTCTTGTACAGTGCCGTTTTCTAAAAGCTTTTGGGTGTACTTGCAGGCGTCTTCGAAATTGTCGATTGTTTTGCTGACATCGTCTTGGTGTTTCATCAGTTTGCAAAAACGATCGTGGTAGAGCTGGTTGAGTTGTTTCAAGCATTCCTCCTTGTGCTCGTCAATAAAAGCCTTGAAGCTTTGATGAGACTCGATAATCAAATCCTTTGCGGCGCTTCTTTGGTGCGCGAGCTCTTCCAAATTATGATGCAAATTAGTGGAAGACTTCATTAAATTATCCACAATCGCCCTACTTTCAGCCAATAAAGCTTCCATTTCTTGTCGCACTCTAGTTTCACTGTCTCCGATAGCTTCAGTAGTATGGCCCTTGTGTTCAGTTTTAGCGCACACAGCACAAATAAGCACGTTACTGCACAGACAATTGAAAATCATGTTTTCACCGGCATGCAAATCGCATTCTAAAGGCTTGTGCACAGTGATTTTGATGCCCTCCTTGCGCATCTCATCCAACGCAACTACTGTGTGCCACTCGAAACATCTCATATAGTGATGCGCAGTATCGCAATTGTTGCACAATAGATTGTGGCAAGTGTTGCAACGCGACTTGGCAACTTCTTTTGCTGTGCAACTGGTGCAAGTTGGATTTGTGGAATGCGAAACATCGGACACGTTGGTTTTGGTCACGTCCAACGGCAAACAATTTGTCTTTTTCGAGCCGACTTTACTTTCAAAGTTGCAAACAGGACAAATGATACGGTTGTCTGCGTAGCCCGCGTCTCCACCTTCGCCGATTATCTTTTTGTCGAGGCACATTTCACAGAACGTGTGCAAGCAATAGAGCATTCTCGGTTTGCACAGTGTTTCGCTGCAGATGGCGCAAACGTCCGGATCCGACGATAGTAGAGCTTCGTCTTCGTCCAGGGCGTCGCCGATTTTGCCGTTCAACTCGATGGAATCTACCATGTCGTAGCCCTCCGGGTCGCTGCTATGGAATTCGTCTGCCGAGGAACTCATTATTCCCATCCAAAAGAATGGCTAACGGTTTTTGAATATTGTGTCAGTTTTATTGTGTACGAGGGTTTATCTGGAATAGAAAATTAATGTTACGAATCTTGAAAATCATTGTATAAAAATTAGGAATACAGTGAATTATTCAGTTAGAAATGGTTTTGATGTGTTAGCTCTCTTTCTTTCCTTGTTTTTACATTATGTTTTTTTTTTCTCTCTCGTGTAACAAAATGGGCCTAAAAGTGACGCTACTTTCAAATCAGTCTCTCAAAAAAGGAGAAGTGCATTTGTAGTGACATCACAAGGGTATCGGCGCTCGACAATATTAGGCAATCCTCTTTGCTTATAATCCTAAAGCCCAAATTATGGACTGACCGGTAAACGTCTGGTTGCTACCTAGCGGGTACTTTCTATGCACTGTCACTAGAGAATAGAAAATACCTGCTAGGTAACAATCAGTTGGTCCATAATTTGGCCCTTAGTCTGTTTCAATCATTCCTAGGCTGTCATTGTAATTGGCTGTCTTTATCTTTTTTCTCTTGTGTGTAACGAAATTTGCCAAAATGTGGCGTTATGTGACATGTCTTTTAAATCAGTCTAAATTTTCGCCCAAATATCAGACCGCCGTCTAAGAAGTTTCACTTTAATAAAAATGCAGTAATGTTTGGCCAGGGGATCTGAAGCTAAGAAAGGAATTCGGACGAAAATGTGCAATGTTGCCACGTTGAGTTATAAAAAAATAAATATACTAGACAATAAATATAAGTAGTTCATTTGAAAATCCTTTGGAAAATCCACTTTTCACTCTTCTTACTCATCTGATTTCTTCAATTTTGTCTATCATAAAAGTTAAACATTCTCTAAAGATACCATCAGCTTTTGTCAATTTGGCAAACATGCAGCCTGGATTGATCTGGCTGCTTATTCTTGAAAAGGGGGAGCAACATTCCCAGGAGAACGAGTGTTCCGTCTTTCTCGATGATATGCAAATGATAATATAAGTAACAAAGACGGAACACTCGTTCTCCTGGGAACGCTGCTCCCCTGTTTCAAGAATACGGGCCCTGGAGTAGACTAGCATAATTTTATCCTCCTATTTTGAAATATCGACTTACAATAAAATATCCAGTGGTGTTGGTTTGAGTGCTCTTAGAACACTTCACACCTGTCAGTGACCTGTCATACTCCATGCGTTTTGCACTCGAACGTTTGAAACCGAACGGGTCAAACTGTAGCCGGAGTACTTTAGAGTAACTCGGCACCGCTCAAAGGGTGACACCCGGAAGTAGCTCAAAAACGCTCACCGCTTTCTAGTCGCTCGGCACTTTAAATGCAAATTTACACTAAAAGTGCCGAGCGACTAAAAAGCGGTGAGCGTTTTCGAAAACGAGAATACCGGCCCAGGATTTTGTATCTGTCACTTGTACCTTGTATTTGTCATTTTGTCTTCAGATTCCATGGCCACGCAATTATGTCAATCAACGATTTCAAATTTGTTAGTCAGCTGAGTTCAGAAAATAGCTTGATGACCAAAATGTAAATTTTTGTTGTCACATGTTCAAAATCAGTTTCAAGTCGTGTGTAAAAAAATATGTGGCATCTGCAATTAGTCTTACCAACTGAAATTTATTTAAATTTTATATGGCCTACTAAGATTTAATAAATCATCGAATGTCGATGTTGCCAATAATTGTAAATTCTCAGTACCAAGATATTTGACTCCACTGTTGCCAATTCAAATTTATTTAAATTTTACATGGCTTACTAAGATAGGTAACTTGGGGCGGGAATTATAAAACTATTTTGACAGATAGCTAAAAATTAATTTCTGAAATTACTATGAAAAGTAACATCATTTAGGTTTTTTCAGTAACACTTATGGCCATTTGCACCGCTATAGCTTAAGGGATATTTAATCCAAGTGGAGCTTTGAATGTGACTCTTGTAGAAACAAAGTTCACATTCAAAGCTCCACTTAGATCAAACATCCCTTGTCCTTAAGTGATAGCCGTGCAAATGGCCATGATTAGATTAACCCAATCCCGATCATCAGCTGTTTCTTTCTCAAGGGGTTTTCCAAACACTCTTCATTCCCTAGGGTAAACATTACAACTGAGCATGTTAACCCTGGAGTTAAAACCAACCCAAAGGTGACTCGCTATTAAGAAACCAACCCTAGGAGTCTTGAAATAAAATCATTTAAAAAAAAATCTCAATGTAATTACAGATTTAGGGCCGATTTCTCAATACTGAGTCACCTCTGGGTTGATTTTAACTTCAGGGTAAGCCTGTCCAGTTGCAATGTTTACCCTGCAGTTATGCTCAACCCGGGGCTTAACCTGGAAGTGACTTGCTAGTGAGAAACCGGCCCTTAAATAATTAAAAATTTAAAAAAATATCAAGAATTTCAAAAACTGCTAAATCTAGAAAAGACAAATTCAACCAACCAAACTAAATGAGTTTTGGAATTCTAAAATATTTAGTAGGTGTAATAGTTGGCTAATGGCTGTTTTTACCAACTATTTTAGAAAAGTTTTAATGTTAAGTTATTCCTTAAGTTCTGTTCAAGGAATACTTATCATTAAGGCTAAAATAGTTGGTGGAAACGACCTTGAAACTGAAGTATAAACAAATTCTAAGTCTTCATTAATTATATGAGGAGTCATTCTGAACGGGATATCTTGTATACACCCTGCAGGAATTATCCAAAACTCTTCATCACTCATCTTGGAAAGTTTGGAGAAATCTGGGGAGATCAAGGTTGGCAAAAACCTGGATTTTTGAAAATCTCTATTAGGTTTTTGTAAGGTTTCTCTGTAATTTTGTGTTTATTCAAGTTGATAAAATTTTAAATTTATTTATTAGTTCATTAACACAAATTTTTTTTTTTACTTATGTTACTACTATAGTAGTTATCTCAAGAAAAATTGCTTTTGATTTTCACTTCTGTATCTAAGGGCCGGTATTTCAATGTCACCTTAAGGTACAGAATAACGTTAAGTCATCCTTAATACAAGTTTCACCATATATCAAAGTTCCCTTAATTTAAGGTGGATCTTAACCCACCTGAATGAACTGATTTCAAGTTCACCTCAACGTTGTTAAGGTTACTTTAGGTAAGACTTGATTTTAAGGTAACATTGAAATACCTGCCCTAAGAATAATCGTTTTTCAATATTATTTGACTATTTTTCCTTAGAATTTTTATTTTGTTTAATATAGAAGAGAAAAATGTGAATAATCCGAGATTTATTGTTATTAATACTAACTTTAGTTTTCTTTAGATTTATTTTGAAATTTGGTGATTTGCTTATAATTCCAGATACCTATCTCAGATTCAGAACAATGTCATAGTTATGTGTATTTTAAACGAGATTTTGAAGATGAAATGAAATTTTCAAGAAAAAGTTTCTGATTCTATGAATCCCATCTTATTTACAGCTAGACTAGACACAGGGTAATTTTTTATATTTTCCCACCCCACTTAACTTTTTTGTGCCACTGTGTATAAAAAAAAATTAAATAGGAAAGTTGTAGTGCTTGAAAAATAGTTCTCAGGAAACACAGTTTTGTTTATACAGGGTGTTGCAAAAAGTTTAAAAAACAATTTTTTTTTTAATGGGACACCCTGTATATTATGACATTTCTGGGTTCTGTGGAAAATTCTAGACATATTTCATGTATAACGTCATATACTTATCTTCGACTGTTTCAGAAATAATGACGGTAGAAAATTGACTTTTTGCATCTTTGACAGACTGTAAAACTTGCTGTAAAACCTGAACGGTTGATTTTACAACCAAACCGATCATACATGCTTTTCCTATTTTTTTATAAAATATCATTTGACACCAACTTTGAATTCAATCCATGATTGAAAATTCCAATTATATTTAATCTCCGGTTAAATTCAAAGTTGGTGTCAAATGCTAGCTTATGAAAAGCTGTAGGCAATAATTTAAAGTCGGTTTTGCTGTAAAATTAACAGTTTAGGTTTTAGAGCCTATCAAAGTTGCAAAAAAGTCAATTTTCTACTGTCATTATTTCCGGAACAGTTCAACATAGGTATATGTATGTCATTATCATAATACATGAAATATGTCTAGAATTTTCCCGAGAATTTTCCGCAGAATCCAGAAATGTCAGGGTGTCCCATTTAAAAAAATATATTTTTTCTACAACTGTCAAAAACAGATGATGTTTGCACAGTGGTGACAATTTGCGAAGTGACACTTTTTTCCAAATAGATTTTTAACGTTCCCATGATGCCGTGTGCAAAATGCTTAGTTCGCACATTCAGTTAACAAATACCTGGCACCTAACAGGAAACCAAAAATAATTAAAATTCACCTGCCTTTGATCAATAATGCAATTTTAGCTTCAAATCATCGATATTTGAATGGAGTTGTAGAAAAAATATTGTTTGCAACTCGTGCGCGAAATACTTTGGTGATCTCGACTATTTTTTTAACTCGGCTAGGCCGCGTTAAAAAAATCAGTTCTCGATCACCAAAGTAGCATTTTGAAACACCCTGTATGAACAAAACTGTATTTTCTGAGAACTATTTTTCAGGCATTACAACTTTCCAATTTAATTTTTTTTTTATAAACAGTGGCACAAAAAAGTAAAGGGGGGTGGGAAAATATAAAAAATGACCCTGTACATATTTTGATTTTGTCAAATTTAAAGCTAAAATACAATTCAGATGACAAACATAGAGTGGAGCATTTCAACTATCAGATTCTATGATTTGCTCCTATTTTTTTTGAGCCTTAAATTTAGAGAAAGATTTGAGAGAAGGCTCCATTGGCTCATAACTTTTGAAGCCAAGTTTTGAATTTTTGAGATCCAGAGCAAGAATGTTGGTGTAGTGAATTGGTTTTTTTTTCTTTTTACTACTCTGTTTTTTCACTCTAAATGTTGTCTATTTTAGACTACTAAATTATGAACATTTAAAACAAATGCAAGAGCCTGGAATAGGAAAATTATTTCAATAATTTAGCTTATTGTTGGTACCCTGTAAAATTTTTTTTCTACAAACGTGTTAAAAATGCAATTTTTAACACCCACTCGAA